ATTGGAAGCCCGTCGTTAAATGATTAGTCGTTTGCAGGAGTGGTCGTTAATAGGGGTTCTATTAAACACTACTATACGCTACACTATACACTACACTATTATACACTACATTATACACTACACATTGGACTCTATGGAGGCCCGTCGTTAAACGATTCGTCGTTAGCAGGGGTGGTCGTTAAGAGGGGTTCTACTGTATTATGTCACTGTATATTAATAGTGGCCTTTGATCACATCCAATGTTTTGGGCAGCAGGGGGGCACAGCAGCAGAATCAACGGGCACACTGTACTTCCATGCTCACACGTCTGGTGCTCCCCACGTTCACCAACCCGCGCTGATCAGCGTGGTGAGGCGTGGTGAAGTAACCCGCACCCGGCGAGAATTGGGAAGCCCTCGCTTTAAAGGACTTAAATGTGAAACTAATAATTATTTATGTTTCATTATGTTAAAGACTGGTCATTAAATAGCACACGGTGCCCTATTATTTAAAAATATATCCACGAATCGTAGTGAAATGTTTATTAATTTAAATTCAAGAGGAAATTCACTCCTTTGGTTTTGATTTGAGGGTGCCACGGTAGCGAGATGTTAACTACCTCGTCTGGTATGCAGGAGGTCGTGGGTTCGAACCCAACCCTGATGCCTGCTGCAGTATATTTGGAGTTTGCGTGTCTCTCTCCCCGTGGTCGCGTGGATTTTTCTCCAGGTCCTCCAATTTTCCCCTCCACATTTATTTGGCTGCTACTACAAATTTCCACACGATGAGCCACTTCGCTGAGCCATTAGTTGTGATGGCCAGGTCGCTAATGAAAAATAGAGCTACGTAGCTCAGTGAGACTTACTTAGCCAAATAAAACATAGATTAGTTTTAGTTTTAGAGTCCCTTACAACCTTTGTCACGCAGGGCTTCATATAAACAATACAGACATGCCTATGAAACAGAACTCGGGCGAAGCGACGTCCTTATAACGTTCAAAATGGGCACAGGAACACGGACTGTGGACCCTTTAAGAAGGTTTAATACAACTGAGCACGTTTTCTTGTTCGCTGTGCGTTGTCCAATAATGCACTCAAGATAATTGAGAAGCAGCAGCAGCCCATGTTTGGTCTCCGTGCCTACCAAAGTGCCAGATATTTTATTACCTGCAGCTGTGCACCACTTACCTACCCCTGCGGTAAACTGTTGCACTACAATGTGGCACGCTCAACAGATTGAGTGACAGCCCTGTGTCTTGACTCGCTTGGTCCTTTTGCTCTGAATTTTTATACAGCGAGGAGAGAGAGAGACCCAGGCGCTTGGAGACAAACTGGTCTCAGCGATGCCTTTTCCATTGTGTGCATTACGGTCGCGTGTGTGTATTGTCCGGCTCTATCAGTGTCACATCATGGCAACGTGATATAGGGGAGGAGGTGGAGGAAGCAATGGAGCAGCAACAGGACGCTCTTTGAAGATTAAATGGCATGCTGCGACCGGCGCTTTTAGGGATAATAAAACTGATGGAGGCAATTAGAATAAACTGACGGCGTGTGCGTGGGCATGGGAAAGCATAGGCGCGAGCTTCAAGATGAGTGATTAATTGCAAAACATCAGTTAAAAATGTACGAGCGTGATCTTAATCCGTGATCACCTTTAAGCTGAACATTAATGGCACGACAGTGGACTAATAATGTTTTCATCGTATTGCCAAATGTAATCGTTGATTAAAACAGAGTCCTTTGTCTCCCTTCTGTTGGTTAGACACGAAAGCTCAGCGCCAGTCGTCTATGCGCTATGAAAAAGGACCATCGCCCCGAAACGTCGCACCTCATATGTTTTTCCTTTAAGGCCGCAGTGTTAACTGACGAATGTGTTGAGTATTGATTTATTTTGTTATTTGTGATTGTACACCTCTGCCAACGCAGCAGCAGTAGCAGCTTCAAAATCTGAATTTTTATTTATACTGGATGATGAAACCGATGAGCTATGAGGCTCTTTTTTCACAGATGTCCAATAGGGGCGGGTAAGGACGTTACAACAACAAATAATACAAGAACACGATAGTAGTGGAAAGTACAAGAAAGGTAAACAAATCACCCAAACACATACGAATAAAACTAAACCATCCCCATCCTACCAGCCAAAGCCCACTGAGGCATTCATTTATTTTTCAAAAGCGACCTCGCCACAAATGATAGCTCAACACAGTGGCTTATCATTTGGACATTTATAGCAGCAACATAGTTTACATAATCTCAATGCACGTCTCTTTTACATTCCGGATGTAAAATGCTGAGTGCAATAACTATCAAACAACTCGCAAATAACTAGCAGAATTACGAATCGCCTCTCAGTGACACGCACGTTGAATCTTCGTGCAAAAGTTATGCGCGCACTAACGCACGCACAAAGCAGTGCTGCAATCCTGCCGACGTGAGTTGGGTGGCGCATCGAGGCTACTGAGAGTGCAGGAGGCTCGTGGTGCGCTGCGATTTGAACATCGCAGCCTCGCGGTGACTGTACTGGCCAAGGCTGACACACACAAAAACCCCCATCGGTGGTAAAGCGAGCGATGCTCCGAACTCCAGTCTGCGATCCCATTAACGGGGACCACTGCACTGATCGGCGTCATTGAAGCGTTGGCTCAGCAAGGCCCCGAATGAGCGACACGGGCGTGGCAAGACAGCCCCTTATTCAACTGCGGACTGGCAGAGAGAGGCAAAGGGATTGTTGCCGTACATTCCCTTAAGATGTTCCGTTTCCATATTTGCAGTTGCGTGGACACTTTGCGGTTAGCTCCCTAAACACGTGGTGTGCATTTAAATGTGATCTGAACCGGTCCTTGCTCACCCACCCACCAACCAACCCAGATTGGTGAAGTATAGTCACCCCCTCCCCCCCTGAAATGGATTAACAGCAGTGCTTAGATAATTATTCAATCGGTTCAGCGTAAATGAGGTGATATGTATTACCGGCCTAATCTTAGGCATTCCATACGCACAGCATCAACGTGCGTTCCAGTTGAATATATTATAATTATGCCCGTGCGCCAAATTCGGGTTTTTTTCCATTATAGATCTTCTACTAGCAATCACGCAATGTGCGGGGCCGCATTCCCACATGGGTCCCGCATTGATTGAGATTCAGCAGACTCTCTAAAAAGATAACATATTCCAATTTTAGCCGGTTAATAGACTTGCGAGCGCAGCTTATTGTAAGTAAAAAAAATGCTCGTTTCTGTAGTTACCCGCCGCTTGATTGTCAAGCCGTGAAGATGAACCCGCGCTGTGCACGTGCACGCGATGCGCGAGCGACCGGCGATATTTTTGGAACGCGGATTCGCCACTGCCACTGGCTCGCCGTTACCAGCGCGATGGGATTGCGTGCCCGGTACACGCGGGCCGCGCGCAATGCGAAGCAAGCCCCTCACCCCCCGCCGCTCCCCCCCCCCCGTTATTGATTGCGCCGTTTGAAATGTCGGCAGCGAAACACAGTCAAAAAAATGTTGATTTACAGTTTTGAAGCGTACTGGGAGGGGGAGGGGGTAGCGCTGGTGACTAGCGCCGACGCGCCACGAACTAAGGGCACGGCTAACAATCAGTGACGAATTATACCTGGACCAAATGTGTCTCCCCGCCTCTCCACCTCACCCCTCCCCACCCCTTCACTAAGCCGCAATGCCCACCATGGTGAAGTGTGCGTAAAAAAAACACCTTCACTTCATCCAGCTGTGGATTGTACAAAGGGTTACAAATCATATATGTTAAGCGACCGTACATTACGGCGTACTTTGCGCCCGGTACGTGTAACCACCCGAAAGGCAACGTACAATTCTCATGGATAGAAAGAGAGGAGGGGGGGGGGGGAACAATGTCAAATACTCACATCAGGGATTGCCATCTATTCAAATTGACCGATCCCCGTGGGCGCGCGGCAGTTGTAATGCATTCAAACGTAGTCGTCATGAGCGAGACAGCGGGAGGAGGGCTTTGAAACAAACAAACAAAACAATTGTCAGGGTCATCCGGCTGACAGGGCGATTCATTGAGGTTTGCTTTTCGGTTGCTATTCGCGCTTTTCCCCAGTTGGCCGCACCATTCTAAAGTGCGCGTGGCCGGGTCCTCTGCAGCAGGCTCCCCTGCAAGCAGAATACTGATGGCACATTCTCCACCAGGAGGTGTTTCTAAGGCAGACGAGATGCGCAGCGCCGCACGCCGTCGTGTGCACCTGTTCTCCGCTCTCCGTGGTTGAGAAGACAGAGAGCGGTGCCGTTGCTGTGACAGACAGACAGAAGAGAAAAAAAAACCCCGCGTAGGCTGCTTTCACTTCGGAAGCGCGATGCAGCGAGGAGCACAGGGAGCCTGCCGCATTCGCGGTCGCGCGCGTGCGAAATCGTGAGATGAGCGGACGAGGCTCCGTCTATTCATGCGGCACTCCTGAATCCCGTTCGGAATTGTGGAGGCGCCAGAATGCGATCGATGGTCGTTGTCGCTGCCGTGTGGTGAAAACTGGGTTCCTCGGGAGAAGAAGAAAAAACATTACAAAGGCCGATCGCGTTTTTTGGACAAAGAGGCTCGTTTTACTCGCTGTCACGTCCTCTGGGTGGACGTGAAATATTGACCTGCGTTAATAAATCGGAAACACCTTGACCATCATCCAAACAACGCGTTTGGGTATTTTACAACAACAACAATTTCGTAAATTCTCGACGCCAGGGCATATATGTATCTTCAGTCATTAGGGGGAGGGGGCTGATGGTGGGGGGGGGGGGAACAAACTGAAGCCTGGAGAAGAAGAAGAAGCGGCGATCGCACGAGAGGGAGGCGGAGAGGGGGGCGGGAGTCAAGTTCGCCGAGCGCTGTCCGTGGTCCTGAAACTCTAATTACGTCTCGAGTTTGTCAACCCAGCGAGCGAGCGCGCGCGCGTCGTGTGGGCTCGAGATTAGAGGTGCGGGGGGGGGGGCGGCGTTCCATTCCAAGGCGGGGGAGGGGGCAACATTCGCCCCCTCTGGCTGGGGGATGACAACTGAATCGACGGCGGAGTCCGCCGCGTGGAATATAATAGGTTCATGAGAAGAGGAAGAGGGGTTGGGCCGAGAGCAAGCATGGAGCTCAAATTCCCGTACAGGAAGACGGACTCAAAACGCCTGCGCAGATAATTTAGGCCGAAATTTTGCGCATCTTTATCGGTGTCCAGAGGAGGTCTTTCCTTAGCCCATCCTCGCAGGGAAAGCACATCGTCCTGCGCTCCTCCGGCGTGTTGGTAGGTGCACTCCTCTGCAAAGCGACACAATCCGCGCGTCTCTGTTTGTTAAACCGACTGATACGCACATGTACACATTAGTGGCGTGTTTTAATATAAGGCTGCATAATAATAATGAACAAGTGTCACCAAATTGAACTCGGCTTGTCCATTCGTGAAATCGAGGTGGCGTTTGATGGATCCCATTGTTCACCAGCAGCAAATATGTCACGCGCTATCTGCAGGAACGATCAGCCGTGGTCACCATTGACGTGCGTTCGGCGCTGAGGCCGCGGCGGGCGTGCAGGCGCCGTGCAGGCGCCGTGCGAGGCCACTCGGGAAGAGTTCTCGGCGCTCTGCAGGCTGCGCGAGCCCCGCGTGTTAAGCAGTGGCCACGCGCCGCGCTCACCAACATTGCATCTTAGCCTCCGCGATGTTGGCGTTCCGTGCCTTAAATCGGCACCGCGAAGCCAGACCCATTTGAATGTGTCTCTTCATTAGCCGCGCAGCCGTCATTTGTTTGTTGTTGTTGTTGCAAAGAGGCAAAGGCGACTGTGGTCTCCCTTGGGTGCTGGGGGACATGATGCGTAACTTTGAATTCGTGCGGCTATTAATGAGTCGGAATGGCGAATCGTGCCGTTAAGCGCTGCTGTTTCTCTACCTCAAATTGACATACGAATGACGATTGCGTCATGTCCCTTTAATAGATAAGATTGAAACAACTGTAAATATAATTTAAAAAATGCATGATTTAAATGCAAAGCTAAACCGTAACGACCTAAAGAATACGAATAACTTAATACGGATTCATTTTGCGTACATACAAAAACAACCCAATATGAGATTTTATTTACAGCATCTTACATTCCCGTGTATTAAAACCATGCGTTAGCCTCGGGCTATTTATAATTTGTATTTAACCCATAACACACGTTACTTGCTGTCAAACTTGTTTGCCAAATAAGTAATGCACAGTGGCCTGTATTATAACAAGATGCTATCTTCCAGCACAATGCATTTGTAACGCGTATGCAATTTTAATATAACTGCGTCCATGTAGCTGCTGCTGTTATAGCACCACCTTGGATGAAATTCAGTTTTTGCTGGAACAACAGTTGCCCAGACATTAGATCCTAGCTTTTAAACCCCAACTTCGACAGACCTCGCCTATCATCTCTCTGCGCCGATATAAAACAAAACAAAAATAGCAGCACCTCCCGATCACCTCAATTTTCCGAGTGGGACGTGAGCAACGATGAGTGGGGGGCCTTATGCGGATGTTGCGACTCGCGGCCAAAGGCACAGTGGGGAGGGGTGTGTGAGATGTGCGTGCCGAACCCCGGTGCTGGGGAAGCGTTCTTGAGGTGGGCGCTCGGGCTGACGGTCTCCCGGGGCGCGCAGTGCGGCCCGCACGCGCCCTCTGTCGGACCTTCCCCCGCTTCTCTCAATCGAAAACTCACGCCGTGCCCCCCACACCCCACTACACCCCCTCCGCCGCCACAATTGCACCGTTCACTTTAGCGTGTAACATACAGCTCGGTCATCTCTCAGTCTTCGCACACTTTTTGTATTATTTTTCTATTTAAGGCCCTCAACTGAGCTAATAATAGCTCTTTTCAGAAGCGACCTGGCTACACATGATCGCGCTATACGAAGTGGCTTATGGTCGTGTGGAAAATGTATAGCGGCAAATTTGTCTAAACGAACTCATGTTCCTAAATGTGTAAAGGGGAAAAAACCGGAGGACCCGGAGAAAAAACCACGCGACCACGGGGAGAGAGAGAGAGACAGAAGCAAACTCCAAATATACAACAAGGCGTCAGGGTCGGGATCGAACCCACGACGTCCTCCATACCAGGCGATTACTTTAGTTGACAGTGCTGTGCATCCTAATGCAGAGGTTGGTGGCTACCACGCCGCCTTGCCCAATTCCCCGTTGTGTGAAGTGGGGAATCCGGTGGGGAAGATCGGATCCTCCCTCTCCTATGCTCCGTGCGTGCTCCCTTCAGCTCGCATTGTATCGCGCCCACTCCCCGCACTCAGATGCGCATGCTAACTCCTCGTGGTAATCGGTATTTTAGGATACACGTGGGTTCCCAAGTTACGAGCGTGATAAATTATTGCGATTTAAAGGGGAAATTAAAAACGCGTTGCTTACTTTGTCTCGCTCTCTGTTTCACTACGGCATAAACTCAATTGCTATACCAACAATAACATCGAGATGCAATTATTTGGTGGCGTTATTTAGTGGGATGATTATTTTCAAGAATGTATTTTAATGAATCGATTTCCCACCCGCCTATGCGCGCATACAAACCTTGCAGGTGATGACTCATTCCCAACAGGGTTGGTTTAATATTGTAACCTTGTTTTTTACCTACAGGCAGCATGCACGCGACAATATAGCGTTTACAATCGCCCTACACAGCACAGCCGCCTGTAAATAGTATGTACATCCATCGGCCAGCGCAAAAAGACACGTAATAGAACGATTGCATTACATACTTCTCAAAGTTGAATTATGGGCGATACATCAGCGTGTCCGGCGGAGTGACCTGCGATTGCCTAGGGCCAGCGTGAGACCGAGGAAGGGAACCCACTCTCACGCCCGTGAAATGCGTGAGATCGGGAACTGCCACCGTGAGAGGTTGGGTTGTCATGCTGAATGTGCGAGGTTCGAGATGGCTCCGGTGCTTCATCACAGTATTATGATGATGTATCCGGGCAAGCAACGTCGCGGATACAAATAGCCCTGCTACTCCATTCTTATGATTGCAGCAGCAATATATATATATGTATTCTCAGGAGATGAATGCCAATGTCGAGTTCTGATAGCCAAGAAGAGAGGGCTTCGAGAGTCCGTGCAGTTCTTCCCCCCTCCTCACTCTGTTCCCCCTCCTTTTTATCCTCCTCCTTTTTTTACTCCTCCTCTTTCTACTCCTCCTCCGTTGAAGCAGTGTAGACTACTACAGTGGTTTACTCTGTGGTCCATAGTTTTGGTTGCATGGCCATAGTCGCACGAATACCGCCACAGCTTTGCTGTCCTTGGCCAACGGAGAGCTCGCTCTCTCTTTCGCAGATGGCATCGTGCTGCTTTAGCATGGGCACTCGCGACCTCGTCGGATGCCTCCTCCACCTCCTCCTCACCCTGCTGCTGCTACTGCTGCCACCGCCGGTAGCGGAGAGCGCAGCGGGGGACCCCGGCGCCAAAGGGAGCGACCACCCAGTGGTGAATGTCGCGGTGGTGTTCGGGGGTACCTCGTACCTTCTCTTCACCAAGGGCGCCGCCGACAGGAAGGAGCTGCCGAGCCTGCCCATCTCGGTCAACGTCATCACGTCGGTCATCAATGACACGAACCCCGTGAGCATCATGGTGGAGCTGTGCGACCTCATCGCCCGCAAGAAGGTGCACGGGATCCTGTTCGGAGATGACACCCACCAGGAGGCCATCGGCCAAGTCCTGGATGTCTTCTCCTCCCAAACGGCCATCCCCATACTGGGCATCTACGGAGGGTCGTCGGTGGTCATGAGTAAAAAGGTAAGAGGGCGCGACAACGACCCTCTCCTTCGTACGTATACCCCCCACACACAGAGATTCTAAGTAACATACCCACACACACAGATTCTCACTAACATACCCACACACACAGATTCTAACTAACCTACACCCCACACACATATTCTAACTAACATAACCCCACACACACACAGATTCAAACTAACATACTCACACACACAGATTCTAACTAACATATCCCCACACACACACAGATTCTAACTAACATACCCACACACACACAGATTCTAACTAACATATCCCCACACACACACAGATTCTAACTAACATACCCACACACACACAGATTCTAACTAACATACCCACACACGGCTGACCAGTGGTTCTGAACCTTTTTGTGGCTACTGTGACCCCTCCTTTGTTGAGTTTTGTTTCAATTGTCCGTTTTCTGAGGTAAATTCCTAACTCACTCGTAACTTGCAAGCGAATTAAATAAAAAAATAACCCGTAAAAACAAAGTTTTTCACTATAAATCCTTTATATGCGTGGCATCAGTTTCTTACAAAGAGCAAGACAATAAATTACAGTACGTGTTCAATGGGCCACAACCCAGCCCACATTGGTCTTTGAAACGAGCGGCTAGAGTCCTCTCGTCCACTGGCTTGAGATGGCTGCCACCTATGGGTCAGATGATTGCCTGCCACCATTAAGCAATTGGTAATTAAATATAAAAAAAAATTCCAAAAATGTTGAAAATTTTGGAAAAAAAATTTCAGGAAAATAAATTGTCACGCATAACGAGTCTGTGTGCAAAATGTCAGCTCGATTGGATCACGGGAAGTGGGTTAAAAAACGACCGAAAGATTTTCACGGTCGTAAGCGCGCAAGCAAGCAAGCAAGTGAACTTAATATAAAGGATTTAAAAAGTCAACGTTCGCTCTGCAAGCGTGACGTAAGTTGTTCCCGCACGCTGGTTACTCTTGGAAACCAGCATTGTTTACGATCTTATATCGTTCAAGGTTAACCGTATGGATTTGACATTTTTATCGTAGGTATTTTACATTGGCGGATTCGCACACGTTGAATTATTCACCGGTGACTCTCTCGCGTGCAATATAACTTCACACATTTACAAATCGCCTCACATAATCCCCCACCACCTGGGACATTGCCAGGCCAGGTGCACTTGGAGGCCACGTGAAAGTGTCGAAGGCTCGCTGATCGCAGGAGAGTCACAGGGACAGACCCAGGGGGTCTGCGTTAGCCCCAGGGGGTCCGCGTTACCCCCACCCCCCAGGTTGAGAACCACTGATGTAGACACACGCTCGTGATGATGCAAATAACAACAACAATGGGGGGGGGGGGGGTTCCTTTATCTCGCAAAATGCGATAAGAGCGGTGACGGATTCGTGGCGGACCGCCTCGCGCACCCGGCGTGGATAGGAGGAGACAAGATGATGAATACCCCCAGAGAGGGAGGAAGAGTGCGTCCGAACGAGGGCAGGGCGACTACTGACAGCCGTAACCTGTGTGGGAGAGCGTGGGAGTGCGAGCTACTGCGCGCAGTGGTAGGTGGTGTTTGTGGTGTTTGTGGCGTTTGCTCTCCTGAGTTGTTTTCTACAATCGAGCGGGCGGGGGGCAATGCTGTCCAATTGCACGAGCAACAATGTAACTACGAAGGCGACACGCCTCATTCGCACACCTGTAACATTCACATCTGTGAAACTGTGTTTTCTAAGTGCTTTACAGCTCATCGGATTCCTCCAGCAAAAATCGATATTCTGATTCTGATAAAGGATAAATATATAAATAGTCTTTTGCCCGTCCAAGGACGGGTGTATTGCAGTAAATCTGAAACTTGCAAGCGAAAATCAGACCGCGACGTGATATTCATTGCATCAATTCGTGTTCAATTTGTTAGGGCGCGGTGACACAGAACTATTTAATTTTAAGTTTATAATCCCTTGTTCATCATGACGTCCTTTTTACTTCTATGTCTCATTAGCGTTACGGAGATCGCTGGTCGCCGTGTAGTGATGCCACGAGCATTGCACACAGACATTCTTGGCTCATTATAGTAGGTAATGAGTAATAATAATGGGGGGGGGGGGGGTGTCCATGTGGAGGACGTCACCTGCTCATGATTATTAATAAGGGGGGCTGTTCGATCTGGAGGGACGTCACTTGCGCATGATTATTAGTGAGGGGGGGGGGAGTACTCTATATTGAGTGACGTCACCCGCTCATGATTATTAATGAGGAGGGGTGGGGGGTTTCCATTTTGAGGACGTCAGCTGCTCATAAATATTAATGAGGGGGGCTGTTCGATCTGGAGCAACGTCACGAGCGTTAAGGACAGACATTCCTGGGTGAATAAAGTAGGTATTTAGACATCCCATCAATCAGACAGCCTGCTGGTAGTACACTTTTTCAGCAGCAGCGGTTTAACGCAAGCAATGCTCTGGGACTGGTTTATCTTGAGTTAAGTTATACATTACAATTCTGAACAGGTTGTGAAGCCAAGATAGACAGCGAGGAGAGTGTGCGTGTGTGAGATGGAGATTGTAAGAGGAATTCGTGTAGAATGTGGACTAGTGTGAGAAAGGAGGGATACCAATAGGATTGCCATGGCTGACTGACATAACCAGCACGTTAAATATCAAATAGCTCATTCATACAAGTCCAGTTGTAAAAAAACATGTCTCTCCATAAAATCACAGTCGTATCAATATAGCGAGTTAATAACGCCGGTGGCACTTGGCTCTCGTTCTGACAGCTACCGTTGTGATTTAGTTGTCGACACTCTTAACTATATGGCGCTGCATGGACCATAGCAGGTTTATAGGCTCTGATGGTCAATTCAGCTTTTACACTACTCACACGCATCTGATGTAAACATGAATGGCGAATTACGACTGAGTGTGAAGAATTTCGCCGCACCCATTCCAACCTCCCATATGGAACATCTAACTCTTTGAAGAAGAAGAAAAAATAAATTTTATAGATCATAATTGAATTTGACGTTTCCTTCTCAAACACAATTCATTTGTGTGTTGGCACGTGACGACCTGCCTACTTCTAGATGTGGCACATTAGGAATGGACCACTGAATCTTGATTTGAAGCTCGTGACTGCAGGAATCCATACTCTTTGGTTCTTTCGGTAAAGTCACGTAGGTAGAAACATAATAGGTCACGACGTTTCGATCGCAACACAAGCAATCGTCATCAGGTGGGACAACCACAGCAAGAAAAAACTGCCGAAGTAGGCGCTAACGTCATCAGTTTTTTTCTTGCTGTGGCTGCCTACTTCAGCAGTTTTTTATTGTTGTGGTTGTCCCACCTGATGACGATTGCTTGTGTTGCGATCGAAACATCGTCATCTATTATGTTTCTACCTACGTGACTTTGCCGAAAGAACCAAAGAGAATGGACCACTATTTTAATTATTTCCTTGTGCAGCAAGGGAGTGGAGTGTGGATCTGTGAAAGTCCTGATGTGCTGTGTGCATGTGTGTACAGCAGCATGTGATAACTGAGTTGGGCCTGTAGGTGTCTGGCAGTGTTATTGAATAACCGCACTTGTACACCAGTCACATGGTTAATGGCGACTCGTTCAAGAATTGCTGTGTGTGACACACGTGCTGTTGCATCTTACAGATTAACCACAATAAACGTGTTTGCCCTCGATTTGGAGCACCTGCCCACGTCCTTCATTTCGAGTGTGCAACATAAAGCAACACAGCACGATGTTTGCACCGCAGTCCCACTCAAACTAGAGGCTCTATCTCATAACGTCTCTTACAACAACAAAAACAACAAAAGCAGACAGAGGGTGATCGTGCAGAACTCCACCTCAGTCACGCACACAAACGATTGAATCGGACCCTTCGCACCACACGAAAGACAAAGAGCCCCCATGTAGTCTTAACAGATTGTTGGGGCAAGTTCTGTTAGCGAACAGCTATGAAGGTACACGAGGGGGTGGGTGCCCAGCACCACGCCTGGCCGCCTAGTGGCGATGTTAACACACCACACCAGGTATTCATTTCAGGCTGAGTCGAGCTAGGGGAGGGCCAGGACCGGTTCACAATCGTCACTGATGTTGGCCGTAAGCTGGAATCAAACTCGGATCGCCGGGTTCGTAGCGCAGAGCGCTAACCGTTACACTACCGCTCCCCACACACGCGTGTGCTGTTACGATTATCACGGTTTTAAAATCGCAGCACCAGCCAGAACGCGTCACTCGTTCACACGTTGTTCACATAACTTGACAGCGGACACGACGCAGTCAGTCGCTACAACACAAACGTGAACTCTGCATTTTTTTTAAACGATAGCTTGTGTAACCAAACGCAATTTCCTCATGAGAGATTCAGTAAAAAAAAAAAGTTCGTATCAGATTTATAAGTGTTCGCTGTTAGCTGTTAGGATGTTCTCCAAATGCAAGTACTATAACCCTATAAACACGTGCCTCGTCACAGAATATTTACTTATTGTCATCTCTCGAGGTTCTCTCTCAAGGTTCTATTCAATACCACAATCCATCGAGCTGTTCTACCCGAATAGATCTCATCACACGCCACAGTGGCGAGATGTTAACTACCTCGCCTGGTATGCTGGTGGTGAAACATACGCACAGATATACTTTGTTTAACACGTAGGCTTTCGTGACCAAATATATAAATCTGTCGTTAAAACCCACAACCACCCGACACAGCCAACTAGTAAGGGTTGTCACGTAAACAAAACATGCCAATTCGTCACTATTACAGCACACCAGTGTGTTGGAGACCCAAGCCACAACATTTACAAAGTGAGTACGACGTTTCGCCAGTAATTACAACTAGCTTCATCAGGCGACAGCCAGATTTGTGGAGAAGTCTTCCTGTTTCGTTCCTTATATAGAGGCGTAGATATGTTGACCACCCTGCTGCCCTCTTGCACAATGTGGGGGGTGGGGGAGATTACTGAGGCAACGGACATTATACATGTGCATTATGCGAGCCCTTTAAACTTGTCC